GTCGGCTGGCTGGGTGTGGCAGGCTTGCCCCGGGCACGGGCATCGTAGCCAGCCTGTGCCCCTTTAAGGGCTCCGGGGCCGGGAGGGGGGGCAGAAGAGTTTCCCTGGTGGTGCCCAGAGTGGCCACCAGGGAAAGCTGGGGAGGGCTAGCCTCCCACTAGTTCAAATTAAGGGGCTACACAGCCCTTAATTCGAACTACTTAATTCGAACTAGGCGTTAGTCCTCGTGGAATGAGGTTTACCTAGATCGAATTAAGCGCACCGCTAGTTCGAATTAAGTTTGAACTAGCGGTTTGCATGTGTAGCACCTATCAAAGTTAATTTGAACTAACGTCTGTTAGTTTGAATTAACTTTGTAGTGTAGACATACCCTCAGAGTCTAAATCAAGAGTCACTTGGAGAAATGAGGAGCTCCCAATTTCCCCCTTGTAAAGTACAGCTCTCATCTGCAGGTGAGTAGCTCCCCTCCCTACTACCATGCCTCCCCAGCTGAAAGGAAAAATGGTTGTATGTTAAAAAAAAAGAGGACACTTATATTATATTCTGAGCAGAGCCTCAGGCTTGCAGTGTAATCTCGGTCTGCCACTGCTTGGCACTTTGGGGAGTAATACATATTCCGTCACAGGGGCCAGGTACATTCACTAATGCCAGTGAGGGGCCCAGCACCACAGAAGCCTTTAGATAATCAGATAAAATATACCACAGCCTCCCCCATGGCCTCAGCAAGCACTTCCAGCCTTGCCTAGCCATCTCCTTTCCCCTGAGAATACATCAATCAGCCTTCCACTAGACACCCACCTCCACCAGCCATTCCAGCAGGTCCTGCTCACCTCCCCACAGACATGTGCTCTCCATGTTACCTCTCTCCTTCCCCCCGCCCTCCAGCCTTTCTCTGGTTCTGACCCCTCTGCTCCTGCTTGACTTGCCTTTTACCTGCCACTTCCTGGCCCTAGGAAATGAGAGCAAGGAGCCTGGGGGAGTGGGGCAGGTTCCCGGCAGTGGGGCAGATTGCAAGGAGTTGTGGCTACAAGAAGGCAGGTTGCATGAGGAAAACTGGTCTGGGACAGGAAAGGAGTTGGTGCCTATGGGATGGTGTGTGGGAAGGGAGGAAGGAAGCAGGGCAGGTTTATTACAGACCCATTGGGGGGCTGACCCATATGAGGTCTGTATACTAGGGTGGTTAGAGAGGGGCTGCAGGAGGATGAGCAATGGTGAAGGTAGGTTATGTGAGGAGGTATGCTCAGGAGGTCAGTGGGAAGTGGGTGGGGAATTAGAAGGGGTTTCTGTCAGCTCAGAGAGAAGGCAAGACTTCCTGCAAACAAAAGCTGCTCACTCCATACAGCCACAGAGGCACCTCAGTGCCTAGGAAGCTAGGCAGTGACTGAAGGGTCAGGACGGGGAGGAGAGGCAGTAAGAACAAATTCCTTCAGTTACAACCCTCACACTAAAAATGGAGGCAGGCCCAGATCTCCACAACTCTTCATCTCTGCAGGCTATTGACCCCAATAGTCAAAGCTTTGTATACAAACTGGGACGAGTTGGGCCCATCAGTGGCAGAGCTATCACACACCCCGCCTGCCTGACGTGGTTGTGGGCTGTGGACTCTGCACAGCTTTAAGACTCTACATTTTCCTTTAAAACAAAGGGTGTGTTGTGTCTAGTTCGGATGGTTGGGAAGTTAACCAAAATGAGAGCAGACCGTACACTGATGTAACCCCTGGCCTGCAGACAGCCTGAAACACCAAAGCAGATGTTTTGCAATGACTCAAGAGAGGTGTAATCCCCATTAGTCTCATTAGGACATTGACTCTAAAGCCTAATAGCACTAGGCAAAGACCTGTCTGCATTAACTATTTCAAGGATGCACAGTTGAGGAGTCTTTTGGAAGGGGGCAGGAGTGAAGCCCATGAGACAGGAATTGGGAGCTGCTGCCATGCAGAGAATGCAGAGGGAAGACAGGGAAAACAAAGAGAGGGAAGGAGAGAAGCAGAGAAAGGAGGATGGTGAAAGGAGAGAAACAGGGTAGAAACAGTAATGGATCCTAACAGGATTCCCCATCCTCCTTCCTCCCCTCCACTGGGATACTGAACTCCAAAAACTATAACAATGATAACTAAGCGCTCAGTTACTGTGTGAAGGCTGTCATCGCTGCAATATCCCCCTTGACAGCACTGGGAGCTGCAAAACCCTAAACATATACTCCAGTCCATGGACCAAACATGGATTTTGCCCCTTTGCATAAATATGAAGCTCTGGTTTAAGTGAGGCCTGTTTGTCCCCTCTCTCCCTTAGCCATTAGCCCTTCAGGACATGGTGTTCTCACCCAGGAATATAGACAGACAACGATACGTTGCCTCTACAATGCTTATACCTGAGGATCTCAAAGTGCTTGGCAAGTCTGAATGAATTAGGTTCATGTCCACATTTAAAAGGGGGAAAGAGAGCTACAAAGAGAGTGAATGTGATTTGCCCAAGGCCATCCAGGAAATCTGTACCAGAGCTGACAAGAGAACCCAGGAGTCCTGATTCCCAGTCTCTGGCTTTAACCCTCAGACTGCATTGCCCCTCAGAAGTAAGTTGGGTATATCTTCAACTTACAGACATGCAAAAAAGGCACAGACTGGTCCCTTCCCTCCCCCCCCCCCCCCCCCCCAAATCAGTCACAGATCTGGGATTGGCACCCAGGTGTCCTGAACCTCACTCCTCTCACTTAACGGTGATGGCTTACCTGGATTCTGCCTTTCCTCCTCCGGAAACTGGGCATCACCAGCTGCTACTGCTCCCCTTCCTGGCCATGATGCTGCACGTTCGGTGCCCCCCGCTGAGTTCCAGTAAAACTCCCCATAGCTCATGCCAGTCCCACTTGGGTAAGGCTGGTAAAGGGGCATCGCCAAGTGAGCACTCATTGGGGGCTTGCTTAAAGGGGTGCTCCCCCCACCTCCCAATAGCCTGCACTTCCCTTCGGGGGAAACAGCTCAGCACCCAGAGATGAAGGTGCTCAGACTGTCTAGGGGAGTTACCTTTATAGCTAGGAGTTCCCTTCTGAGGAGTACAATATCCTGCCTCAGCCAGGTCTTCAGTACACATTGTCATGTTAAAGAGCATGATTGGTGGGGAGGGTGTGAGAGAAGGAGAGGGTGGGGGAGGAAAGCGACAATGGCATCAGGATTAAAAAATGTCTCCAAAATTCCTGGCATTCTATAGTCCACCCTAGCATGGGCCAGATCCAAAGCCTGGGGAAGTCCAGGTAAAACTTCCCACTGACTCAAGCCTGACATGTTAAAAAGCATCCCAGAAAGGAGACCCTAGGTGGGAAATATTCACTGCCCCAGCCAACCTTCCCTCCTCCCCTCCAGACTGTGGAAGCCTTCAGTTCTGAAGCTGAACTACACACCTGTCCCATATAATTCTATAGGAGGCAAACCAAACCCCAGTCAAAGGGGGTCTTGCAAGCAGAGGGCTTGCTTCCCAACTGTCCTGCAGTTTGTAAACACAGTGACAACAGCTCAGGGAAAATGCAACCAGGTCAGAATGGCAGCACTTGTTACCCTCGGTGCTGGGGGAAGTGATGACACTAGGAGCAGCACAACAGTGACTCAGGCTAGAAACCAGGGGAGAGGGAAAGTTTTTCTTCCTTCAGATTAAATTTCTCTTTTGATAGGCACTTGATGGGGCCATCTGAGAAGTGCCAGGAAGGGTCCTGGCCAGTCTGCTAGTGCCAGATGCCAAAGCCCTGAACTTAGGGGAAATCCCTGTCGACACCAAGGTCCACTTTTGCAGGGCAGGCCTGTAAATATAGGCTCTCTGCTCATATATGAATGAATGGTCATTAGAGACATTTTTGTTGTATTGTTCTGTTAGGAACTATAGATACACCATATGGGGAGGCAGTGGGAGGGAGACCAGTAGAGTCTGGGAGGGGATCCCTGGCTGTAGCAGTCACTTTGTCAGAGGCACATCTGTGTACATGAGCATTTTCTTGGCTGTGAACTGTTGCTGGCCTGTTTAGATTGGATGAGGTGATACAAGGACCCTGCCTCCTCCCCTACTGCACCCATTTTGTCATCAAGTGTGATTAGCTGATGGTCCATAGAAAGGCTTGCGTGGAGAGGTGTGAGCTATGGGCCAAGAAGTTTGAGAACTACTGAAATAGCCCCAGGTCAGAGAGTCCTGTAGTTCAGCCACAGACCTCCAACCCGGAGATCTTTCTTTTCATGGTTCTGCTAATGATTTGCTATGGAAGCTAATTCAGGTCTTTCCCATAGGTAGGAAGATATAATGCTACACAACTAAGCCATGTGGCATTTGGAAGCTGCCACTAGTGTTTATAAAGTGTGTTGATATCCTCTTGGGGATATCCTCTGAGGGTTTCAAAGCAGTTTATAAACAGTAGTAGTGAGTCAGTCACAGTATTATCATGTTTCAAAAGCAGGATGATCCTGTGGCAAGGACCCATAGATAGGTTGGATGTCAGAAGCCTGAGGTTTTAGTCAGTGCCCTCCCACTAACTTGCTGTGTACCCCAGTGGGGTAAATTCAACCTCAGTTTTCCCATCATTAAAATGGGGAGAATGCTACTTCTTATAATGCACTGTGAGATCTCTCTGGCTATGTCTAGACTGCAGGCTTCTTTTGGAAGAAGATTTTCCAGAAGAGATCTTCTGAAAAAACTTCTTCTGAAAGAGAGTGTCCACACTGCGGAAAGCGATCTGTTTTTTCGACACTGACTGGACGCTATCTCGCATGTAAGCTGTGGGTGGAGTGGCCACCAGAGCACCTGTGGTTTTTCCTCTTTCCTCTTCTTGCAAAAGAACTCCTTCTTTCCCATCTATGTACACCTTTTTGAGAAAGAGCTCTTTCGGAAAAAGGCTTCTAACGCATAGAATGAAGATTACCAATGTCGGAAAAAACTCTCTGTTCTTTTGCTTTTTTTTCTGAAAGAATGGGATTGCAGTATGGACATAATTGACGGGGGATGAGGGGTTTAGGAAAAAAACGCTGTTTTTCAAAAAAAAAAAAAAAAATCTGTAGTGTAGACATACCCTCTGTGAAAAGCCCTCTGTAAGGGCAAACCATTGTTATTGTCTGTGTTGGGCAATTGCTCATCAGGTCTCTGGGGCCTGTGCTCCCTCACCTCTCCCATGCCAAGTGTACATGCGGCCCTGCAGAGGAGGCTGGGTGATAGTGAAAGCTGTGGTACCACCAGTACCAAGTGTATTTCTTCATCCTAGTTGGATGGTGCAGTCAGTTGGTTTTCCCAAAGTCTGGCTAAAACTGGGACCTGGGTGAGAACACTTTGGGTGAGACTGCTCAGTCCAGACAAGTTAGGTATGATGCTGGAAGGTAGTATGGGCAATACCTGCCCCAGTATGGATGGGGTTTACCCACCACTTGTCAAGGAACCTGAGAGTGCATCTACACTGCACCTGTAGCTCGAAATAAGCTACACAATTTGAGCTATGCAAATTATGTAGCTTATTTCGAGTCAATTTCTAAGTAGCTTATTTCATAATTTGGCGCTGTCTACACAGCCCTTATTTCGAAATAAATCACAATTCCAAAAGGTCCCTTGCTCCTCGTGGAATGAGACTTGCGGGGATGTCGGAATAGCAAGCCCGTTATATTTCAGAATAATGGGCATGCTCAAAAGACGGTGAATAGTTATTTTGTGATACCTCCAGTATCCCGAAATAGCGCTGCAGTGTAGTCGTAGCCTCTGAGTCCTTTGAGATCTTCAGTTTCTTCCAGCTTCTCGAGTGGCTCTGGAGATGAGAAGAGCTTTCTTTCATCTCTGCGTGCTTAGGTGTCTTAGGCCTTTCCTCCTCTGGCCTCCATCTTGCCACTCTCATTCAGGCCTTTGTCACCTCCAGAGCCGAGGGTGGAAGCTATGGCTGAAGAAGAATGCAACTGCCTGCTTGCTTGGAAGTAGAGTTACCAGGAGTCCGTTTTTCGCCTGGACTGGCCGTTATTCGGGTCCCCTGTCCGGTAAAAAAACCAGAAAATAACAGACGTGAAATGTCCAGTATTTCCTGTTCCTCTGCGTCTGGTGGGGGCAGGGGAGTGAGGAGCATGGGGGCCATTTTTTTTAGTCAACAACTTTGGTCTCCTCCCATTTTTTTTTCGCTCAACAGAATTTTTTCCTGGTGGTTTTTTTGGGGGGGGCGGGGAGGAAGAGTGGGTGTTCGGTATTTTTTGTTAAACCATCTGGCAATCCTACTTGGAAGTGCTGACTGAAGAGAGCATGTTATATGGTTACCATGTCTCCACAGGCTGCACTAAGCTTCCTACAATGTACCTTTAGGCTTTGGGTTCGGACTCTCTGACAGCCCCAGCTGTGTGTCCTACAGCTGCTATGAAAGGGCCAACCATGCAAGTAGAGGGTGCTCAGCACCTTTGAAAAGGAAGCCATGAATGGCTGGGGCTTGACAGCAGGGACATTCATTATGTTTGGGTTTGGACATCCTCCGCTGCTCCATTGCAGTCTGTCTGATTCCCCGGGGCATAGTCTTAGGGCAATCAGCTTTTCCCTGCGGAGTCAAGTGAGTGTAAAGAGCTAATGGCTGGCTTGTAGTCTGTTTAATCTGACACTCATGACATTGCATGAGCGGTTTGAAAGGTTGTTTCTGTACCTACACATTGGGTGGCCAGGACATTGTGTAGATCATTAAAATAAACCAGTGCAATAAAAATGCAATCTTGCAAATGAAATATAACAATGCTAAAAAAAAAAAGGTCCATTGCATGCAATAATGTTGAATGCAATTTTTCACTTGAAATTTTAAATGCACAAAAAAGAGGGAAATTCAGAACTCTGCAGCCACATAATGCAATAGCACTACATTCACCTGGAGATTAGCATCCTCATTATCCCAGTTTTGACAGCTTAAATTCAGGCACTCTAGATCCAACACCCCATACAAATAACCAAAATTCAAACAAAACAGGCCTCAGGCCCCCTACAGCACCACAGCTAAAGGAGACGCTCCATTTTTTTCTGAGCAATATAGGGCCTATGTCACACAACTGAGCAATTCTGATTCCATCCAGTTGAGGGCAATGGGCTGCACTCCTACACACACCTACCTGAATTATTTAGGCATTAATGTTACAATGACTGTAGGTGATAGGGTAAGAAAAGAAAAAACATGTAGCAGACTGAGAGAAAATATTCCCAAGAAAGTATTAGAGGCTTCATGTAAACTCACAGTGGAACTAGACAAAGCCCTGGGACATTGGTTCTTCTAAAGCGATGGTGTCCGTAGCCTCAGAGCACTTGCTGGTGGTCCGAGAGGAGGTGGGTGCTAGACCCTTCCAGTTAGGAGCCTAATTCCTTTTGGAGAGCTGGGCAGTGGTGCTGGCTCTCCTTGTTTCCAGATACCTCTTCAGATGTCCAAGTTCTTCAGTGCAAAGTGCCTAGAGGCCTGTAGAAAACCAGCCTAGCAGCCCCTACTACTAACTATGAGGGACAAGAAGAGAGAGGAAACAGGAGCTGCCTTTGGGACTAGAACCACCAGTGGAACTGGACCTGCCAGGACCGGGGAATGGCCAGCAGAGCAGAGAATGAATCAGCTCAGTGGGGGGAAGGGTGGGAGAAGGCAGCCAAATGGCAAGAGGAGTGAGAAACACAATGGCATGATTTTGCAGAAATGCTTTTAATGGAAAAGTTTTTCCGTTAAAAGTATTTCCGCAAAAGCGCGTCTAGATTGGCACTGATGCTTTTGTGCAAAAAGTGCTTTTGCACAAAAGCATCCGTGGCCAATCTAGATGCGATTTTGCGCAAGAAAGCCCCAATTGCCATTTTAGCCATCGAGGTTTTTTGCGCAGAACAATTCTTCCCTGTCTACACTGGCCCATGCGCAAGAGGGCTTTTTCCCGAGCGGGAGCGTGAAAGTATTTGTGCAAGAAGCACTGATTTTGTACATTACAAAGTCAGTGCTCTTGCGCAAATTCAAGCGGCCAGTGTAGACAGCTGGCAAGTTTTTGCGCAAAAGCATGTGCTTTTGCGCAAAATCTTGACAGTCTAGACGCACCCAAT